TACATACTATAAATACAGTGGAGAGATCCCGGGTGTAGCCAGCTGGCATTTCTATGGGAAACCATGTTGTCTGGATCGGTTAAGGACGTTCGTAGCACCATAACTGTCATAGAGACCCGTGGCCTCCTCGTGTGAAAACCATTGGCTGTGAGACTGACAAGAAAAAGAAGAAGAAGAATATGTTGTTTACCCACCCCGTGACTGCCTCCTTTCATTTGTACATAATCAACGTTCACCTAACAAATCATAAAAACACAACACAATGCTAAATACATTTCACGGAAATTCCTATGTACCTCTTTAATCATAAAAACAAAATAAACAGGATATCACCGCTCGCGTTTTGTTCACTTTAAAACACGAAATGTTTTCCTGTACATATCTATTACCGTCTGTCGTTATTTCGTTTCTGCGTGTTCTTTTCATGCAACAAAAGCATTGCATATCGAACTCGTTTAACTTATTCTTAACATTTTCGCTATTAGTTCGTGTTTCAGCGACCTAAAATACTTTTGGTGAATGAATAATTGTTTGTACGGAGAACTTGTAAACGAATTCGTAATTTCGTAATTTGAATTTCGTAAATGCGTGTTTATACGACTTCTTTTTTTTTTTTTAATTTTTTTTTAATTATCAAATGCCGTCTCCGCATGTAGTTTCTAAAGCAGGTTCCAACACAAGGTCCTATTTACTAATGATACACTCATACTTCCTCTTCTTCTTTCGTTCGCATGAAATAAATTGTCTATATCTGCAATGCTGTCTCTAGTATGAATTTCACTGTCTTTTGTAATTCACTAAGCGGCCCGTAAAGTTTGACTTTCACAAGTGTCTCTTTTGGCCAAATGTTTTGCCTGAAAGCGTTGAATTTGGGACAGTCTTGAAGGATGTGATCTGTTGTCTCTGGTGCCAGTCCACAGGTGCACATGGCTGATTCGTCAATCTTAAATTTGTTGTACGTGTGGCAGCGAAGTCGATTGTGCCCTGTTCTAAGGCGAAGGATAATGACTTGCTCTGTTGTGTCCATAATAAATTAATTGTCTTGTGCCAGTTTCGTTGGCATTCTGATCTGATCTGATCATTCTCTTCTTCTGTTGATAAGAGACTGGTATGTCAGATTGTTTACACCATACTAATTTCACCCAGTCAACGTCTTCGTGTTGTCCACCCCATGCAACATTGATTTTTTTTTTGTACGATTCCCTTCGATCTATTGCCGGAATGGTAAACTATAGCTTTCGATGTTTGTGTTGTCTAGTGTGTCCTTTTGCTTCTTTTTATGAGTGTCGATCAATAAATGTCGACGCAATAAATACAATGTCTGTTTGTTTATCATATATGTGAAATTTCTTGATCTCAAAGGTTACACCTCTGTTTATTTATGTGATTTTCTACTTAGAAAGAGCCGCGTTAGCGCAGTCGATAGGAGACTCGCTTTCAAATCCAGCTGCGACTCGCAGCAGCCCACGGCCGGTGTTCGAAACCGAGCGGTTCCCGGGGTTCACCCAGCTTCTAGGGCTATTCTATTCTAGGTAATGGGTACCAGTGTTAACAATCCGGGGTAAGTGGAGGAACGTGGCTGTAGCTACGGAGTGGCGTGCGGACGGCAACACAGGCGGACAGTTTCTTATCAGCTGTCCGTACTAGTGGCAGAGCACTTATGGTTTATAACCGTGTGCAATGACACTGGTTCACGTCTCCCGACTTTACCTTTACTCATATCATTCTATAGGGAGCCTCCGTGGCTGACTGTTTAGCACTCTTTGCCAGCCTGAAGGTTATAGGTTCCAATCCCTTTCTTACTTTTATGTTATTCATATTCTACTTTCTGTCTCTTTGCGTCGCTGGTTAACATATGATCGGTATCCGAGCTAGGACACGCTCGGTTGACCTCACGCTGTGATGTTGTGAAGTCTCAAGGTATCAGTGACTCGTTCAATCCATTGTCTTACTGGTCGTCCTCTACCTCGAAGTGTTTCTGTGCGCTCTTTTCTGCCATCCCTGGATTCAAATCCTTATCAAAGCATGTTTTTAGAAATGCACCTGGTCTCTGAGGTGGACTCAGACAGATAGTTGGTAACTGGAAATACCTCAAGAAGTAAAGACGACCGGTCTGATTCTGAGCACATCACTCATATACTTCCGAGTAACTTATAAAATATTGTGCTGGCAATTTCACCAGGCCCCCCCCCCCCCCCCCCCCCCCCCATATAAAACTATGTTGTACATCTGAGTGCTTTTTTTTTTAATTTTTATAAATTCTTGCTTATGACCTTTCTCTCCCTATATGAAAAGGTGCCGGTACTCAACACAGAGTGTCTAAGAAGGTGTCGGTACCCACCACAAAGTTTCTAAAAAAAGTGCCGGTACTCGATACAAAGTTTCTAAAAAGGTGCCGGTATTCACCAGAAAGTGTCTAAAAGAGTGCCTATACTCACCACAAAGTGTCTAAAAGAGTGCCTGTACTTCCCACAAAGTGTCTAAATGAGTGCATGTACTCACCGCAAAGTGTCTAAAAGTGTGCCTATACTCACCACAAAGTGTCTAAAAAAGTGCCTGTACTCACCACAAATGTCTAAAAGAGTGCCTGTACTTTCCACAAAGTGTCTGAAAGAGTGCCTGTACTCACGACAAAGTGTCTAAAAGAGTGCCTGCACTCACCACAAAGTGTCTAAAAGAGTGCCTGTACTCACGACAGTGTCTAAAAGAGTGCCTGTACTCACCACAAAGTGTCTAAAAGAGTGCCTGTACTTTCCACAAAGTGTCTGAAAGAGTGCCTGTACTCACCACAAAGTGTCTAAAAGAGTTCCTGTACTCACCACAAAGTGTCTAAAAGAGTGCCTGTACTTTCCACAAAGTGTCTGAAAGAGTGCCTGTACTCACAACAAAGTGTTTAAAAGAGTGCCTGTACTCACCATAAAGTGTCTAAAAGAGTGCCTGTACTCACCACAAAGTGTATAAAAGAGTGCCGGTACTTCCCACAAAGCGTTTAAAAGAGTGCCGGTACTCGCCATAAAGTGTCTAAACAGCTGCCACCACAAAGTGGGCGAGGGGGTCTAATTTTTTTTTAATATATTGAAAGATATAAAACCGAACTAAAAGTAAATTAGTGAGCTTCACACCGTATCAATCACAAACGAAAAGTAAACGTTGCGGCTGCAGATCCTTCATTAGCACATACATAATCCCCCCCCCCCCCCCCCCCCCCAACCATACAGATACACACAAAATCACTTAACTGGCGTATCCAGAAGCAGCCACGTTGACGTCTAGCCAATGGAATTAAACTTGTGCGCTAGCTGTGTTGGTTTGTATAAACTCGAGTTAGTATTGGATGCAGGATGTGTGTGTTTTTCCTCCGAGTACCGACTGATTTAAAAAACACATGTCTAGCCCCATATGCCCAAAACACTTGAAGGCTTGGAAAAAGACCCTTTACTTTACTGTTATTACCGTTATGTACAGCCGGGAAAACACATGATCAGATGTAACATGAACATCTTCTTTCACTTTCAGGGTACACTGCCGCCATCTGTCTTTTACCCAATTTGCAAGAATGCAGAAGATGCCGCTGGTCAGGTCAAGGTCAAGCGGAAGTGTGGACGGCCAAGGAATCCAATCCCGCGCCACAAACGGGAATCCCACATCAATGCCGAGCACAGGAGGAGGGGCAAAATACAGGTATGTCTCTTGTGGCCTTAGAGTAAAGTAGATGGGTTGGTAAGGGAGTGTGTCTGGTTGGATTTTCCTGTGGTGGAAGAAGGATTTACATAGGGCGTGCAGAGCTGTTCAGCTACGTTTTCTCACAGGCCAACATTTTGAAAATGGAATCCTCGTGAACCAGAAGCTGAGCCTAAGCATAGAAAGCTCATTAATACATTATAATTAGTAATGATCCACAGGCCATTTGATAGACCTATGTGGGCTAGATTTGGTCCGCGGGCCGCCACTTGAATAGCCGTGTGACATTGGGATCGGTTTTGAGCAAGAAACAGTTTCAGAGAACAGAAGCCAACAACTTTCCTTGGGAGTTCAAAAAGTAAAGGACCCTTTTCAACGCCTCCGTGTGTTTCCTGCATATTGAGCTAAACGCTAGGCCTTTATTTTATGGACCGTTGGCACTAGGTGGGTGATGTGCTTAACCATGCCGGCCGCCTTTACTACTTAGGACTTTACGTAGTACCCATTTAAGGCTGGGTTGACCTGGGAGCCATGTACACAAAATTCAAGATGGGTGTATCAGCCATGTGCACCTGTGGAAAGGTGCCCCAGACTGCAGAGCATGTGCTCCAGAACTTCACCGATTTTGACACATTAAGGCAAACCTTTTGGCCAGAAAGAACAACAGTGGAACGTAAACTCTATGGACCACTGAATGAACTAACAACGACAATGAAATTTATATAAGAGACAAAACTGCTGATATAGACAACTTATTTCAGGCGAACGAAACAAGAAGAAGACCTGAGAGCCGAAGTCATTTTTGAAAAAAAGTCTAACACCATCCAGTCCGAGAAGAATGCGATAATAAAAAAAAAAATAGGAATCCTACTATAATATCATAATCATCATAAACACTTCTACCGTTAAGCGTCATGGGGAGGAACATTTTGCGATCTAGTGCACGCTGGCTGCCACTGTAATGTCAATGACAGAGTTCTTTTTTTTTTTTTTCTTAGGATGGCTTCCGAACACTGAAAGGTATGGTACCAAAGTACGAACAGAGCTCAGGACGGGACAGCAAGGCAGATATTCTGTTTAAAGGTACTTCTTCTTCTTCTTCTTCTTCTTCTTCTTCTTCTTCTTCTTCTTCTTCTTCTTCTTCTTCTTCTTCTTCTTCTTCTTCTTCTTCTTCTTGTCCTCCTCCTCCTCCTCCTCCTTCTTCTTCTTCTTCTTCTTCTTCTTCTTCTTCTTCTTCTTCTTCTTCTTCTTCTTCTTCTTCTTCTTCTTCTTCTTCTTCTTCTTCTTCTTCTTCTTCTTCTTCGTCTTCTTCTTCTTGTCCTCCTCCTCCTCCTCCTTCTTCTTCTTCTTCTTCTTCTTCTTCTTCTTCTTCTTCTTCTTCTTCTTCTTCTCTTCTTCTTCTTCTTCTTCTTCTTCTTCTCTTCTTCTTCTTCTTCTTCTTCCTCTTTCTTCTTCTTCTTCTTCTTCTTCTTCCTCTTCTTCTTCTTCTTCTTTTTCTTCTTCTTCTTCTTCTTCTTCTTCTTCTTCTTCTTCTTTCTCTTCTTCTTCTTCTTCTTTTCTTCTTCTTCTTCTTCTTCTTCTTCTTCTTCTTGTCCTCCTCCTCCTCCTTCTTCTTCTTCTTCTTCTTCTTCTTCTTCTTCTTCTTCTTCTTCTTCTTCTTCTTCTTCTTCTTCTTCTCCTCCTCCTCCTCCTCCTCCTCCTCCTCTTCATCCTCCTCCTACTTCTTCTTCTTCTTCTTCTTCTTCTTCTTCTTCTTCTTCTTCTTCTTCTCCTCCTCCTCCTCCTTCTTCTTCTTCTTCTTCTTCTTCTTCTTCTTCTTCTTCTCCTCCTCCTCCTCCTCTTCATCCTCCTCCTACTTCTTCTTCTTCTTCTTCTTCTTCTTCTTCTTCTTCTTCTTCTTCTTCTTCTTCTTCTTTGTTCCAGAACTCAGGTTCTGGAACAAGACTAATCTCCAGAGGTGGCCGAACGACCAGAACTTTCCGCCGGAGTTTACAGCCGGTAAATGCGAAGAAGAAGAAGAAGCAGTTTTCATCCCTTAACGTGGGGCCCGGCAATCTACATGGGCAGACAAATGATTGGCAGACTCTGTACTCGTCGATGTAATTTGTACATAAGCCAGTTCCCATGTACTGTGGCGATTCAACTTAAATTGAGTACCAGACAATGTCTGGGGAAGCAAAGACAGTCAACCTGTTGTTAGCTGCAAGATTCATTGAATCAGCAATGAAATAAAAAGTCCGGAACCAAATGTCTGGGGCGTCAAAAGACATAAATAAATTCTTTACTTATTGTGAAGATAGACAAAACAGAATGACAAAGGCCACAGTTATCTTAAGTCATAAATATTTGCCCACAAGTGAGGTTTGAGGTTTGAGGTTTGAGGTTTGAGGTTTGAGGTTTGAGGTTTGAGGTTTGAGGTTTTGAACAACGGATCAATATCATGGCAAACGGGTAGTAACGCATAAGTGCTCCGTTCTGCTTCTAACTCAAGTCTGAGTCCGAAGAAGCTCAGCACAGTGTACTAGCACTGTAGCACCGGCGAAGATCCTGAAATACTTTGGGTAGATTTTCAACTAAAAATTTTGCTCAGGCGGCGAGGTTGGGCTACTCTTTCCGATGTCAAACCACCAAATGACTTTTTACGTGCGCATCAATGCACACGGGCGTCCGATCACACTACCCAGAGACCAGGGGGAATTACTAGAAGTCCAAGTCCATGTAAAAAAAATATCCCAACCCTTACCGGGGCTTGAACCCGGAACCTCTAGCACTCGAGACCAGGCAGTCCCCTTTGTCTACAAATGATACCACAACTTACTATGCCAGTGTATGATATCTTGACTACTTTTACCAGAGTCCCTTTGGTCAGGAGTCTCGTCGACACAGGCTGATCTTCATGGCTACCGTAGCGACCCTGTAGCACAGGGCTACACTATCCCTAGCCCGATCCTAACGTTAATAGAAACTTATACTCCCTTCGTACATGAAACCGGTACCAGCGGAAGGGAAAAGTAGTAACAGACACACACACAAAAACAGTGTGTTTGTTCACCTGACAGTCTGCAACAGAATTGTATTTTAGATAATAAAAGTTAAAAGTAAAGGACTCTTTTCCACGCCTTTAGACGTGTAGGGCATATAGGGCTGGACCTATATTTTTATAGACCAATCGACACAAGATGGGAGATGTGGTCAACTTGACTCCCTTTAAGCAAATGGGTATTAGGTAAAGTCCTGGGAGCTTAACACACTTATCATCATTTGTTATCAATTGTCTTAGTTTAGAGAGACCAGTTAGTTCCTTAGTTGATCGAAAGAGGTGCTATAACAATATCCTACCTCAAACAGGGAAAATCCACGGGTCACGTGACAGTCTAATATTCAGGGGGTGGTAGGCTGCATGCAGTCGTGGGACATAGGCTGCACTCTCTCGTGGGACTTAGGTGGGTTGGGGTTAGGGCCAGTTCTAGATGTTTTGGGCTCGTTAAAAGCATCAGAAGCCGGGAAACCCAGGCTTTATCACCCTCTAAAATGTTGGACTGTCCTGTGACGTCATCTGGGGTAAGATAATAATAAAGAACCTCGAAATGTTATCATCGAACCTCAAACCATTGAGTCCATAATTGCTTAGATCCTCTCTTCAGTATTTCCCTCAGAGAGACAAGTGTGTTGGTTAACCGTCTTTCCATCCACTGTACTTAAGCAAAATGGAAAGAAATTGTAATACAGGAGGAAAACACGATGGCAGAATGTGAGGGCTCAGCGGATGTGGGAAGTTGGAAGTTCGAACAAAGGATCAATATCATGGCACACGGGTAGTTACCCATAAGTGCTCCGTTCTTCTTCAAACTCAAGTCTGAGCCCATGGAAGCTCGGCGCAGTGACGGGCCCCGTAGCACCGGCGAGAATCCTGAAATACTTTAGTAAGATTTATAACTCCAAATTTTGCGCAGGCAGTGCCGTTAGGTTACCTATTTTCTATATCCAACTGCCAAGGAATTATTTTGTTATGTGCAACAATACACACGGGCGTTCTATCTCACTACACAGAGACCAAGGGAAATTACTAGAAGCCATGGTGAAAAAAATCCCAGTCCTCGCCGGGGCCTGAACCCGGGACCTCTAGCACACGAGGCGGACACCATACCTCGAGACCACGCAGCCGCCTCGTTTGTGAGAAAGTACGCAGAGAAAATGTGATGACAACAATAGTAGAGAAATTACATGCTCAAATTGTGGTAGACTTTTCTTAACCTGCGAGTGATCCTCTTTATGACAGTCGGGATGTGCAGGCAACACTCAAGTTCTGGAACATTACTAAAGTCTAGAAATGGAAAACCAACCGAGGCTTTCACAGACAGGCACTGGTACCATCGCAACTGGAACTCCTTGCTTGCTGCTAAAGGTGCAGACGGCGCATTTATGGGAGTATTCCGAGTGCTAGGATGTTGATTCTTAATTCAACACTCAGTGTTCCGAAATTTTCCTCCAGTGTTTACAATCGATGACCACAAAGAAGAAAAAGAAACACTGGCCATTACCATCCATTATGACACCCCATTTCTCTCCGCAGCTGAGTATAACGCTACCGTCTACCAAGACGGGAAAATGCCAACTCTTTCCCCAAGCTGAATTGTTTGTTATTTTCTTTTCTCTCAGCTGTGGACTACTGCAAGCTGCTGCAGAATGACATCAAGGAACTCGGCTCGACCATCGAGGCTCTCCGAGAGGAGAAAGATGCTGTCAGTGTGGACATCAAGTGAGACCTTCATGTCGTGTTGTTTACCGACACTTTGTCCTCCCAGCACTACAGTTTCTCCTCCTCTAACTGTTATCTTGCATTGTGTTGTATTGTATTGTTAGATGGGGCTATGTTTTGGCACATCCTTTAAAGAAGCGAGCCATAGTTAGACTTCTGTTACCAAGAACTGAATTCAAGATTTGACCCAAATAACTTTGGCTACTGGGGTTAATTATCCGTATATAATCCTTTTACATTGTTAGACTGAATTGCTTTTTAACTGTGTCTTTCTGTTTCTCCTTTATGTCTTTACTGTTTTTCCCGGGGTGTCTTCAATATTTAGGTCAGGCCCTCACTTTAAAAGTGAACATTGGTGTGTTTGGGGTATATGTTTGAATAGCGTTGTTTTCTGCAGCAGGCAATATAGCGTTGTTTTGTTAAATGACCGAGAAATTTGACCCGATGTTTGTCAATAAAATCCATCTTATAGCCTAATGTGACTTCTTCTTCTTCTTTTTCTTCTTCTTCTGCGTTCGACGTCATCCATGCTAAATATTCAGTCCCGTCTGAGTCACAAACGGACGGGTAATCTAAGGTGGCCGTGATCTTCCATAAGTAAGTTTGTAAAGTAGCTCCATTAGGCCAGATCTACTACCTTTGCCGGGTGTAATTATGGCAATCTTATAGTGCATGCTCGGTAGTCGCTTTAGTCTTGTCTGCAATGTCTTCACTTCCTACGTGTCTCTTAAACTTTGCAACGGCTTCGAGAAATTACAGTGTTCTTTATAATTTAAAACTTCGAAAGGATCTTTCACCTGCACAGTGTACACACCGGACTTCGTTTTTTTTCTCGCCCTCTTTACAAAGTAGTATGTGTCCTTACCAAAAATTGATGTTGAAACAATAGATTTCATGGGTGGTTTAAGAAAACTTATTTGCCCACAGTTACATTGAAATAGTGTGCTATTCATGTCAAATACAGACGCAACGCCTCTATTTCCCTCCGCCTCGGTTTAAGACGAACGTAGCCCCTCGTGGTTTTCTTTTACCTGCCAACTGAAAGTTGGATCACACGTGAGACTTCAAAAGTCTTTTCAAGCGTGGCAGACAGATAGGACACTCTCAGATACCCCGTTGAACCTCCAGGGAATTTATAATCGGGGCACCCAAAACGGCAGCCCAGTGTTTGTGCGTGTGTACCGTTTATCATCTCCGGGCTGACACCTGAAAGGCCTGACACCCTGAAATCAGAAGATCTCTTTCTGGATGGCAGATCGGCAGGACCTGAATGGCAGATTGGCAGGACCTGGATGGCAGATCGGCAGGACCTGGATGGCAGATTGGCAGGACCTGGATGGCAGATCGGCAGGACCTGGATGGCAGATCGGCAGGACCTGGATGGCAGATCGGCAGGACCTGGATGGCAAATCGGCAGGAACTGGATGGCAGATCGGCAGGACCTGGATGGCAGATCGGCAGGACCTGGATGGCAGATCGGCAGGACCTGGATGGCAGATCGGCAGGACCTGGATTGCAGATCGGCAGGACCTGGATGGTTTGACGCTGTGTAGAGTAAAAAGCAAAGGACCCTTTCCAAACCTTCAGGCCTGTTAGGCATATAGGGCATGACCTATATTTTATAGATCTATCGGTACTTGGCAAGTGATCTGGTCAGCATCACACCGTCCGCGTTTACTTCCCAGGACTTTTGACGACATGAGATTAAAGAAATAAGGGCATCCTTTACGGTCCCGCCAACCGGGAATAACGAACAGTCAGGTACGGGTAATAGTTAGTCACCGTGTGGTTAAGGATGGTCACGGTTGAATGTGCACCTGATGTTTATTTCGGTACCGATGTGAATATACCGGTTTGTGAACACATCTGGATATTTGGGAGGGCGGGGGGGAGGGGGGGGGAGCGTAGACTTAACCCGGAACATACGTTCTGTAGCGTTTTATGGCACTGTAAAGTCTAGTAGCACATGGCTGCTGTAAATACTTGAGTCCTGCTGGCACATTTTTAAGTCAATTGGTTTACCAATAGACTGACCTGGGGCCCGGCTCTCTAGCTTAGTTGGCTAAACCGGATTGCGCGGTGAGCGGGTGACGAACTCCTTGTGGTCCGGGTTCACTCCCGGGTGTGGGCAGAAAAGCCACATTTCTCCCAGATTTACGGTATTTACAATGGAATCAAGGCCGAAAGGTTGCGATATCCATAATACCGAGCCTAAGGGTTAACAACACATGGCTTCTGGATGCTAAAACAAACAAACTGACCTGGGGTAAAGACTAAAGCAGCCAAGACTCGAGTGTAGAACATTGTGCACACACATATTATTTGGTCATTCATTAAAATGCATAGGACGTTTGTCAATCAGTTGGCTCATCTGGTATATAGTATAAAACCTGTAATTTTTAAATAGACCAGTCGGAATTCGATGGGTTGTGCGGGCAATGGCACGCCGGTCCTTTTCTCCATTCGGAGTTTAGGCCGAAAGACGCAGATTTTGCAGCCTAGCAATAAACCACAGCACAATGTATAACCTAACGGTTGAACGTGGTTTCCGGGACCTCTCCACCGGTGATCCTCATCCCAGTGGTGACACTTTGTGTCACCCCGTGTTTATCGCTCTGCGTGATGTCCTGGTGTGGTAAAACTTACTTACGTGCCAACCATCCTTTTGAGGACATCACAAAAGAAACAGAGGAAATTGCCAGATGAAATATTTTATTTTCCTACAAGAAGTACCTAAGAAAAAAAAATTTTTACCACGTTTATTTTCTCCCGACAGAAACTACAAAACTGTTGTACCAGATCTGAGTTTATACGACGATTCGTCGGTCAGCCTCGATGAACACTACAGCGACTACGTGCAGTGCAAGTCCAAGGAACACTGGGCGTTTGCAACCGTATCCTTTGGTTCAATCATTTGTAACCAAATTTGTTTTATCGTAATCTTCGTATGCTGAAGTGTTTTGTGGAACCTGTGTTTTTATAAGCATGCGAGACATGGATTAATAAACAGACAAGTGGTAAACATACTCGCGGTAGAGATGTGGGTTTTTAGGAGAATGTATGTAAGCTCCGTCCTCATCTTCAGCAACCAGCGCAGAGTTCCAATATTGATGGTACCGTTCACAATCTGGTTAAAAGTCTGTCTTGCCTTTCCTCTGAGTGTAGTAAGCCGGTCAGACCCTCTGGTTACACCCAGGTGCCTCATTCTCTCCAGGCCATAATAATCTTCTTTCCTACCGATTTCGTTGCTTGTTCCCAAAAGGCCTTGACAACATCTGCCTTGTCATGTATCAATTCACCACCCAGTGGTGCAGATCCAGCCAATCTGCTTGCCTCTTCATTACCCACTACGCCGGCATTGCCTGGAGAAAAGATCTAAAGTATGCTCACCACCCTTGACCTTTCCAGTGAAGCTAGCCATTCTGCTCGAAATATCCCTGTCCTCACCTTTTTCAGCATGCTTTCAGAGTCGGTTACAATTATGACATGTGTTTGCATCTTGTTCTCTAGCCAACAGAGAGCTGCAGTTACCGACTCCACCTCCATTCTCATGCTAGATGTTGTGATGTCGTATGCTAGGCTGTCTTGCACTAAAGATTTTTCATGGGCTTTCGCTACGAACCCCCAAGCACTTCTCTTTCCTCTCAACACTGAACCATCTGCATAGATAGCCTACACATGAGACATGATAATGATTTTATTTTAGTTAGAAGTATTAATTTATTTGCTTTACTTTAATCAGTTGTTAGACAAGTAAGTACCTGGCGAGATGTGCCAGGAAATTGATTCTGCAACCTTGTTTTTGTGATTTCTTTGTTCAGAAAGTAATAATAAGGATAATTTAGACAGCACTAGATCTTATCAGAATTGTTCCTTGACTTTTGTGAAGTTCAAGGTTATAATGCGACCCTTGTTTGAGTCCTACAAACTCTGCGTGAGAGGGAATTCCTTGGCAGAGTTCCTGCAATCTGTAGCAGACTGGGCGGCAAATTCGCTGAGTCTTTCCAATCTTAGAACTGGTAAGTTTCGTTGTTGGATTCTACTCAGTGGCGATGAATGATCAGTTCGATTGTTTAAGCGTTAGCACTTAATTATTATAACGAGACGGTATTCGAGTGTTATTCTCATCCTCGTTGCTTGGCTGTAACTGGCAGCTTTAACACTTTACAGTTCCTGTATCAGTGACGTAAGCATTCACTTCGCTATGTTCGAGACATGAACCGAGTGGCCTATCTAACAAAAAGTTCACAGTGATAATAAATAGTAATATAATTTGCTTCTCTGGCAATGGAAACTGTGAGCTGGGATTACAGCTGGTTGACGCAGGCCTGGCCACTGTAACTTCTACTACAAAATATAGGCCAAATATAAAATACACAGACATGTTTCTGACCATAATCTTGAAACAGCGGGAGATAGTAATGCATGTTTGTAGTAGGCTGGCATAGTCTTTCTAGACGACAGTGTTTTCATTGTGCTAGATGGAGGCATATTGTTAACTTTGTGTAGCTTGCGGCAGAAAGAAGACAAAGATTATGATGCAGGGTTTTAATGAAAGACCTGCAATTTACATTGACGGCGAAGAGCTGAGACAGTTGACCATTTTACCTGTCTGGTAATCCACAGTGAGTAACATTCTATCGCTGGACTAAGAAATCAGGATAGATGAGGCAGCAACAACAATAAGCAGATTCTTCTTCTTCTTCTTCTTCTTCACTTCCTCCTTTACCGCTGTGGGTGTCGAGGGAGATATAAGGTTCTGTTTCTAGCTCTTCTGGCTGCCTCGACCATAGGCACATCGTGCTGTTGTAGAGTTTCTCTGATGTTATCCTTCCATCTTGTTCTTGGTCAACCCCGTGCTCTACGTCCTTCTTCTCTTCCCATGTATGCTTTGTATGGTATGGTGTCACAAGGCATTCTCTCTAAGTGGGCAAACCATTTCACTTGCTGTCTTTGTATGTAATCCAGAATTGGTTCTGTGCCGACTTGTTCTCTTATGATCTCATTTCTGATCTTATCTCTTATGGTCACTCCTACAGCCCTTCTCAGACATCTCATTTCCGTGGTTACTAATTTTCTTTTATGGTTTGTTGTGAGTGACCATGTCTGGCACTGGTAGCACAGAGTTGGAAAAAATATGCTTTGAATAAGATGTCTCTTTGTGCTGACTGGGATTGTCTTATGCTGTAAGAGGGGGGCTAGCTGTACCAATACTTGGTTTGCTTTACTGCATCTAATGTCAATTTCTTTATCCAATTTCCCATCTTCGGTAAATGTAGTTACCAGATATTTAAACTCAGATGCCTGTTTAATGCCTTTGTATTCTATTGTTATGTTTAGATCTGTCTTCTTTTTTCATATTGACATTACTTCTGTCTTTTCAGTGCTGATTTTCATATTATTTGTTTTACATTCTTCATTCATGGATGTTAGATGTTGTTGCAATTTCATGGCTGTATCTGCTATCAAGGCCTGGTCATCTGCAAAGAGTAATTCGTTGATCTTACTAAGATCTTCATTCATGGGCTTGGCAGATTAACAACAACAAAATGAAACGTTGTTTTTATTCTTTTTTGTATTTTATCACTGTGTCAATCCAGGCGGTTCTCATTGTGTTAATTTTGACTATGTCTAGTTGACCGTGTGTAAACATGTCTCCTTGTGAGGTGTTGTCATTTGGAAGTTGCATGTCTAGATCTCTTTGTGGACAATGAATATATATTATCTGGCATGTTTACTAATGTCTACTTTTTTTTTAGTAAACAAATATTTACTCTCAGGACTTGATCAACGCTTTATTTCTTAAATATAACCTTAAGAATTGAACAGGACATTGTTGTAAAATTACTGCTACTACTTTTTCTTTTTCCTGTTGACTACATTTTAAATGTCACGTTGTCTTTCTGGTGACCTGCAGTGGTCTAGCGGCTAGACCCTCGTCTGGAGATCGGAAGGTCGTGGGTTCGGGTCCTGACAGGATCCGGACATTTTTCCAAACAAACCTTGGCCCCAGGTCGACCCAGCCTTGAGTGGATACTAAGCAAAGTCCTGGGAAGTAAAGGCGGTCGGTGTGATGCTGACCATATCATCCACCAAGTCCGTTTGGTCTATAAAATATAGGTCGAGCCCTATATACCCAGTACGCCTGAAGGTGTGGAAAAGGGTCCTTTAATTACTTTACGTTGTCTTTCTCATGACCTCTACACACGCACACACATACACACACATGCACACACACACACATGCACACACACGCACACACACGCACACATGCACACACACGCACACATGCACACACACATTATAACAGGTGTCGTCTCCGCAATGAAAGTTGGCTACAAGGCATCCATTGCTGGCTTTGGAAATACTACAATATAAAAACGTTTTTTTTTTTTTAGTAAACCCTCCCCCTCGAAATCGAGCCTTAGTTTACTAGGATCATGTAATTGTTACACTCATTCACTTACTTCTAAGCCACAGAGTAGCTCAGCTTCATCATCATCATCGTCGTCTTGCCGTCTGGAGTGGGCGATCATACATCTCCAGAATCTGTGATCTTTAACAGCTGTATCAATTCCCGTTTTGACACCTCTTCATGCTATGACAAAAGGCTCTGGCGTTTCTGTGTCTCTTTTCGTCACAGAACTTGGCAGTGGTCTTTGTGTATTCCAGTTTCCATCTTTTGGTCATGTGACCACAAACTGAGGAGGACTGTCTCTTTCCCATGGCCGTGATCAGTTGTCTTCACACCTTAGCCTCTTTCAAAACATTTGGATTGCTCATTTTGTCTGTGTAAGGATTTGCAAGAATCAGAAAAATGCATCCCTTATAAAAGTCCTTTACAGGACGTTGCAGAACCAACCCCAGCATTTTTTGGCTGTTGCGGTTTTTCTAGGCAAAAATCACGTTCAGTAGTTTGCCATTGCTCATGAACGGTCAGTTGTCGGTACCACTGCCTAAACCAACCCAAGGCGGCCTGCTGCCAAATTGCCTGCAGCTGGAATCGAACCCAGTACCCCTGCATTACGATGCGCGTTTGCAAGGCCTAAGCCACAATACCCTATACCCAGTGTAAATATTTTATAGTTGTAAAATGTACTATGGTATTTGCACCTTAGAAGCTAACGCATTTGATTGCAGCAAATACTTAGTCAACTTTAATGACATACTTTTTTTCCAGAAACAGTGGATCTATTTTTGATTTTATTTATTTATTTTTTTAATTTTTTTTTATTAACTTAAAAAATAAAAAAAAAGCCTCAGAACCCAAATGGCGAACAGCGTTTTCTATCCTTGCATTAAACACTTTTGACATGAACAAAATGAAATAGGCAGAAATGTCATGCTGTTTCAGTAAAAACTAAACAATGCATTTAGCATTTAGAGTGTTTTCACCACCCTGACATGTGATTTGTTTCAAGTTGTATGTCACACTTGAACCTAAACTTGTTCCACATTATTTTCTCTTTCAGTTTGTCTGACGACCCTGCGAGATGACCCCGCCGGATTTGCAGAAGTCGACCAGGTCAAGACTGGACACAGTATCAGCAGCTACGGAGCAGCCTCCCCTCTGGCCAAAACTGCCCTAGTTGACAGTAATAATAATAATAATCGTTGTCTAGATAGTCAGTCTTTGACATCTGAACTGTTTGGCTGTCAAAATATTGCGACTAACACAGACAGATCTGGTTGGAATCGAAATTCAGAAATCCAAAACCATTCTTTTGGCAATATCCAAATGACAACAAACAGGAGCTCGCCCATGCGCCAGAGAGCACTCCGTTTAAATATGCAGAGTTCTGAAGATCTAGTTTCTTTCGCAGGAGATAATCTCGAAGGTAGTAATGTTTTCGGAGACTTGTACTACAATCTGGGTTCTGATCTTCACAATCATCAACTGAGCGTGGCCAGGGCAAGCATGAATCACTGGCCAAATCTTCACTTACGCCAACAGTATGGCAACTATTATCAGGACAACCACTTGCCTGCCTCAAGACATTGCTCTGAATTTAGAGAAAGCCATCATTTTTGGGAAAGCCAACATCAGCAGCTGTCTCAGCATCTGGTCGGAGATCACAGCTTGGCACCTGGCCACTACCAGCAGCAGACGTATCATCTCCCAGAGAGGCACTTTCGTTATGATCTGTCTAGTTCTCGGGAAGGATTAGAGACACTGCCAGCTTCTGTACCATACTTGTACCACTCCACAAATTTTCTAGATCCTGATCTATGTAGGCGCAAACGTCTGTCTCAATCTTCGAGTGGCAGTGAAGGTTCTCTGCTGAACATGGATTTATTTGCCAGGAAAGCATCCGAAACTCTGGGAGAGCTCGAGAAACCTTCTCAGTTGTCTCCCTCCACGGACAGTTGTGTTTCCTCAGGCAGCAGTGCTTATATACCTAGTCCGGGAATACTTAATGGTAGAAATGCTGACTATGCATGTTCATTTCGCAGTACGTCGTCACTGGACAACTTCAGACAAAGTCAGCCTGCAACCAGTGACAAAATAGTTACTTTGGACAACCAGATGGTACTATCTTCCTCTACATACAGAGACATCTTTGGAATGAGTTCATCGGAACAGCACACAAATTCTGTGAATAGGTTTGGGGAGCATCACAAAACTTCTGTGATTAGGCCAGATAAGCAGTTAAAAAATTGTATGAATAAAAATGACCGTGATACACGGCCTGGTGTTTGTGCCAACATTGCTAAAACTGACCCGGCAACTGGCTGCAGGAATTCATCTTTAGCCATGCAAGATTCTTCATCTCTCTTGGCTGAAATGTTGGACCCGCAACAATTAGCATTACATCAGTCATGGTCACTCCACAACTGCATTGAAACTATGCAACCACCACCCACACATCAACACAATGTTACAAACAAACGCTTGTCAACACCTTCAACCCCACATACATCTACACACTTTGTGAACGAACTGGTCAAAAAGGGAAGTGCCTACATCCAGTCTCCACTTCTACCTGGGCGAAATCCTGATTATCTATACAATGTTGCCAAAGATCAACATTCACCATTGTCAATTAAAGTACAACCTAA